CAACGAATTGGCAGTTTTATTTGTTCTCAAATTTGTTAATGACGGGATACATACGTAATTTCCTCTGATTAAACGTTGCTTTTCAGATGGCGTAATGGCCTCTTTATTCTTTCGACTAAAAAGTGCCATCGAGGAAAGCCATCTAAACAGTTTTTGAAAAAAATTGTTAAGTTAGTACTTCTTTCCGTCATTCGAAATCTATTAGAAAACCAATGTGTAAATAGGAGACGATCCTTCACCCATATTTTATAAATGGTAGTTTTCTCTAGATGAATCAGTTTTGTCTTTTTAGCCATCTTGATGATTTCACTTGGAACGGATATGAAACCTATTGTAGTTTTTTCGACGATGACGTCTTTTTTATCTCTCTAGCCACTTTTGAGATACTAGTTGGCATTAAAATAAGCTCACTTTCTTCACATCTTGTTGAATCCTCCACGAATTGTGGCTAATGAATCAACCGAACCGAAAGCGGATGAAAGTCGGCCACCCTCCCCTCCCCTTCCCACCCTTTCCAACCCCGAAGAAAGTGAAATAGAAACAGTTTTAAAGAGAAGGCAAAAGACACGTTCAGAGGGAACAACTGTTCTAAAAGCGTACGACTTCAACGTTCTTACTCGACTCTCCGTATTCTCCGTAATTACCAAAATGAGAAAAAAAAGTGAGAACTGAAAACTCGTTGAAGACCGAAAGACATACAACGATATGCGTCACTTGACCCTTGCCTTAAACGTTCATCATTGATTTCTAGAATACTGAGGCAGAGTACACAGCTCTACTTGTGATCTCTGATTACCTTTGGTTCAACCTCCATCCTCATCCGTTTTACATCTAGTACCCTTTCACCCAAGCTATCCATTCGTCTATGGTTGTCAGCGTGAAAGTGTACTATTACCTTGAAGTATCCAAAAATGTATTTATGGCCAATAACTCTGACCCAAACAAGACTTCAAAATTGTGACGCATAAAACGAGCGACGTTGTCTTAGGGACACGCCATGCATTCAACTCCATTCATAACATCTTAGAGATGAATGAATGCATACATGCTCCATAGAGTGGCCTGTAGGAACCTACCGATCTATCAAGTCAGTGTTTTTTGTCCTCTTAGACGGGCTAGACAAAATGTGTCCGATTTCGGAGGGATAGAAGGCTTGGTTAATCTCACGATGCAAGGTCGAAGCAAGGATCGCATGTCTTCTACAGAACGCGTTAAGGCACTGCGCTAAACGCCCTAGGAAGACGTTACAGAGAGCGAAGTCGTTCTGTCCCGATGAAACAGACTTGGAACGTGGATGGGAAATATTCGATTGTTTATATCAAAATTAATTAGCTCTTAGTGAAAAATGTGCTGAATGCAATTCTCATAAATTTTTAATGAATTTTGGTGCGTAATAGGATGCCCTTAATTCACTCAAAGCCTCCTCTATCACTATAGCGCCAGTGCTACTGCGAAGAACTTTAATGAAAAATTGGAAAATAAATTTATTCTCAGCTAAACGATAGAACCAGCTGAGATACATGCAAAGCGAAGGACCCGGATGGTGTAGTGGTGAAGTGCGCTGCTCCCCGGTAAGGACAACAGCGCGTATTCGTTCCCCACTGCATACACCTGTGGTCCGGAGTTTTGCAAATATCTCAGCACTCCATATGAGTAATAAATTTATTTTTTGAATATATTTACATCTACGGCTTAAAAAAAGACTTAGAAGTTATGCGTTGGTTCTTCGACAGTTAAATTGTGTAAGACTAGTGGTGGCTCCCAAGTTTTTGTTTTTTTCCTTGCTGCTTCACCGAGTTTTGTTTCGTACTTTAACTTTCTATGTATTTTATTCTTTGTCCTTGTTTATTTTAAATTCCGAGTGTGAGTAAGTCAGTGGTTGAAGGAGCACTGCAGTGCCACGAGGTCTGTGTTTCGATCTCCCTCCTCGTGCTCACCAAGCCTTCTATCCCTCCATAGTAGGCAAAGTGGTACCATATTTGCCTCGGAGGATAAAAACATTGATTTAATATCACCCGTAGACAGCTCCTTACTCGTCGTAGAGGGTAAATGTGTACTCAATCACCTTAACAATGAAATGAATGGAGATAAACGCTCAAAGCACCCTTAAAGGACTGATAAACGGAGTGTCCATCAACCTTCATTCTTCATTGTAAAGCCTATGTTTCACTTCTCTCTTCACTGATTTTCGGAAAATACTTCATCCTTTATTTCGTTCTTGTTTGAAGATCCATTATTAAGAAGGCGCTGTCTACTCATGCATTGATATCCACTCATGATTTAAAGAGATAAGAATGCAATGAAAACGGTGACGGTCTGATATTTGTTAATGCATTCAGCTGACCCACGATACACCTCCCTACTGTCAAAACCTGTCTTAGCACCCATGTTGGTGGTGGTAGCTCGCTAAAAAGAGTAAGAAAAAGGAAAAAAATTTGCATGGAAGGTTTATACTCCATGGCCCATCGAAAGCTGAGAGTCCTCTTAGTTAATGAAAACCGTATAACTGGTGGAACGTTTTCTATGAAAGGTTTATCCTTTTCCGTTTATCGAACGCCTACGAGCAGCTATAATTTTGGTGCTTAACAGAGACGATTTTCGTAAACCGCATAGATGCCCATTTTTGTCCTTCAGTTCCGACTGAGGAAAGTGCTAGAGAATAGTCACTGAAAAGTTTTTATTACCGTCTGTTTTTATAACGGTGAGGTTATTCAATGATGCTTAGATATTTGCAAAACTCCGGACCGCAGGTGTATGCGGTGGGGAACGAACGCGCTATTGTCCTTTTCAGGGAGTAAGGAAGTAACAGGCGAAACGAAAGGACCCGAGTGGTGTGGTGGTGAACGTGCTACTCCCCGGAAAGGACAATAGCGCGTTCGTTTCCCACTGCATACACCCGTAGTCCGGAGTTTTGCAAATATCTCATTGAAGTTATATTTCGCAATGTATTCCTTGCCGTTAAAAAAAAGAGTAGGCAGTAAATAATAAGTTAAAATGGTGAGGTCAATGTTGAGAGTTGATGTCTACACGTGATGAGGAAAAAAATCGCATTGATATCAGTTCTCTTCCGCTCTTCGACTTGTCACCTTCTCGTCCTCGATTTAACCTTTGGTTATAAAACTTTATGTGTTACAGGCTAGAAATTGTATAACATCGTAAAATTTTCTTGTGATGTCAAAGATTCCATGATTCCTTTTCTCATTTATATTCCGAATACGCTTTCTATTGTTTTGATCTATCCAGTATTTTTATTAATTTGTTCGTCCGAATTTGTCGTCAGGTAATCTGCAATGACGTCAATAATTATTGATTTTTCAGGTGAATGTGGAATGCGCGAATGTGAATGTTTGAATGAACCGACCGATGGTGTCGCCGGAGTCGCTAATCTCGTATGATTCTGTTTTTCTTTTTGTTTTATCATTACTATTGCTGTTGCTTTTATTATTACTGCATTAAAGAAAATCCCAAGTCCGACTTTCTATTAACCTCGGCATTGATTGAATATATCTTTCTACTTCTGTTCGGCAAGCACGAGGTGCTATTTTATTTCTTTATTTACGCACAAGCTGACGTTTCGGCAGATTTCGCCTTCCTCAGAGCCTGGAAGGGTCAACTTGACAGCAATCCACTCGGCCAAACCCCTCCATAACCAAACAGAGAAAACGCTAAACCAAGATTTCAATCACATTTAGCATAGCTCTGCACACTCACCGCTTTCTATGACTCTTCCACTGAGTATGTCGCGTGAAGACCAACCGCACAGAATTCACATGGAAGCGTAATGTGCCCATCTCATCAGAATAACAGGCTTATATACTGCCCGATATAACGCATGATAATAACGTTTCCCCGTTATTTAAGATTAAGATTTAAGATTTTGAAGTAAGGGTTACGATCCTCGCGCCAAAATCGAGAACACAAGCGCGCAAAACTCTAGAGGCATTCTGGATTAATTCCAAGAATCCGAAAATGAACCGCAGGGAGGAATGCCTCGTTATCACGCGTGATATTGGACAGTATATAAACCTGTTATTCTGATGGGAGGAGCACATTACGCTTCCATGTGTATTCTGTGCGGTCGGTCTTCACGCGACATACTCAGTGGAAGACTCATAGAAAGCGGTGAGTGTGCAGAGCTATGCTAAATGTGATTGAAATCTTGGTTTAGCGTTTTCTCTGTTTGGTTATGGAGGTGTTTGGCCGAGTGGATTGCTGTCAACTTGACCCTTCCAGGCTCTGAGGAAGGCGAAATCCGCCGAAACGTCAGCTTGTGCATAAATAAAGAAATAAAATAGCACCTCGTGCTTGGTGAACAGAAGTTGAAAGATATATTCAAAGAAGATCATTTTTTTAATGGAGCGTCATACTTACTTGGATACTTGAATGGTTCGTTCTCTCGCATGTGCGGGTCCCAGCATATTTTCCATTTTTCGGAGTTTTGCTGGCTTAGCCATTGTGTTTCCTGTAGTCCCCAGGTCACCCTGGGCGAAGTCTGCCCGAGGTCGTACCCACCACAGGCAGTCGCCGCCCTTGTGGATCAGAGGTAGATTTGCCACCATGCGACTAGTTTGATACCAGGACGGTGGTCGACCCTGCTATTGATTGACTCTTAGCTAGGCTTCCTAATGGAAGCGCCGAACTCCTTCTCAGTTTGCAAGACTCTTCTGTGGATATGAACGCTCGCTGTACGTCGTTGCCCGACATCCAGGAGCACCTCCCAGCTACGATGAGGCGGTAAACAGTTGGGAGGATAAAACATAATAAAGAGGAAGAACATTTAAGTACGTTTCTACTTCATACGTGTTGTATTTTTTCCTATGACCTGCTCTTTCGATCGATCGATCTTTTTCTGAAGTTATTTTGCTTAGAAGACCACTCCTTTAGTTTCTTTTTTACCAAAATTTCAGCATAATTCCTTACTTTAAGCTTCTCAGGCACGAGTCCTTTTCGCCTTGAATACCTTCACCAACACTGTAAAAAAATTTACAGCAATTTTTATTATGTTTTTAGCATTTCCTTTATTATGTTTTCACACGTTGTGGACTTTTGTAGTCCGTGATTGTCACATCGAGTTGCGTTTCACTTGAAGAAACCCTTCAAATTGAAATCAAAACTAATCAACGACTTCAGTGCTACTTATGTCTAGTTTTCCATTGAAAAACCAGTAGAGGAATCCACTTCTTAAAAATTGTCTTCTCGGGCAGCACTGTCTGTATGTACTATTTTTTCCTAAAAAGGTTAAGAAATATTTTTCTATTGATAATATTTATGTGTGGTGTGGTAGTGAACGTGTTATCTCGCAGGAAGGGTAGTAGCGCCTTCGTTCCCCAATGCAGACACCTGTGGTCCGGAGTTTTGAAAACACCTCAGCATCATTGTGGTTGCAGCCGACGTTATACACTGCGATGAAAAATTATAAGAGGCAGTAAATAAAAAGTTGGCATTCTCATTTCGACTACTGCTTCAGCTTAACTGGGCTGAATGCCGATTTGGGTCCCTCAGATCAATCCCGCTGACGGGTGATTGCTGATGGCACTGATCGATAGAACTTGCGGATAGAGAAGAGAAACGAAGGACCCGCATGGTGTGCTGGTGAACGTTTTAGCCTCCGGATAAGGTAATAGTGAGTTTCTTCCCCACCGCAGGTGTATGCGAATTGAACCCAGTTGAGCTGAGGTAGTAGTTTAAATCATAATGTTACCTTTTTTATTTGCTACCTACAAGCATTTCCACGGTAGGGTTTTATGTGGTATAGGTATAAATGTAAAATTTCATATTACATCGAGCAATTATTTTTTTATATTTTTTTTATATTTATTTATATTTTTTTTATATTTTTATATTTTTTAAAGGGATAAATAATACCATTAGAGAAACACAGCGTAGAATTGGGATGAAAAATGTTATCAGCCGAAATGACCTTATCGGGGTGGATTTTTTCTAAATTTCAAAAAATTTTTCAGGAAAATTCCAAGTTCTTTCTGCTTAAGTTAATACTCAATTGAATGAAAACTTTTTCTTACAGATTTTGATCATTGGCATTCTACCGGTTGTGGCCATTACTGGTGTTTTCTTGAATTTTTTGAGTATCACCGTGTTCTCATTACAACGTAACACGGCCGCTAGATATTTAACGGCTTTAAGTTGTAGCGATGTTGGTGAGTGGTAAAGTTTATGGTGTTTAGTTGCCAATATATTTAACTACAGACATATAAATAGAACGCGGTTAGAGCAGTGGTCAGTGGAGCATTGAAATGCAGACGTGGTTTTCGGTTCAATCCCGCGCCACAGAGCAATAACTCTCCATCCCTCCTGAGTTGAGAAATTTGCATCAGGCTTGATACATCGTTAGGGGCACTGGAATCTGTTCTATAAGCTAGGTATGTCCTCACTCATCTTTACGGTGCTAAAGCGTTCAGCGTAGATCAATCCCTGAAGTATGCGCCATGCATTGGACTTCATTAGTGGCATCTTGAAGGTGACCGAATGCATATACCGAGTATCTAGTAAAATATATTGGCTTATCGGTGAGCCAAATTAGCGATTTTATCTTCACAGACTAGGCTAGCCCTAATTTGTAGATATCGGAAGAATGAAGAACTTAGTTAGACCAGCACAGGAAATCAAACCAATGACCACTTGTATATTGCAGTGCATCTCTAACCATTATACCGTATGCGCACACATATAACCGTAGTAGTCTTAAACTGGCTGTGGTGATAGGTGTAGTCTTTAACCGTACACTATCACCTTTGGGGCATTATTGTATGCTCTGTCAGAGTTTTATGCGTTCCGGGGACGAATTTTAACTGTAATATAGAGTTCAAGTGGAAAGCTAGTTAATATTTCTCTCACTCTCTCTCACTAAGCTCTGAAGTTATTCTTCAGGAATTCAACTACTGTTCTTCACATTAGATAACTCTTATATGATTGTTGTATTTGTAACTAAAATCAGGCTTTTACTGTTTGTAGAAATTCTGTTCTAGGCTGAAAAACTAGTCTCGGTCGAAGAAAATAGCTTCAGTTGGTAGCTTGTTTAGAAATATTGGTTCTTTTTGATTCGATTAAGTTTTCTTTTAAAAATAAATGGTAGCGCCAGAAACATTTCAATTTTAGGCATTAAAATTACTGGGAATATAGATAATTCCTGATTTCATCGTAATTTTTACTGTAAATGATGCATATTGATCGATTTAGGTAACTAATTTTCTTTTCGGTTTTTAAGGTGTTTGTGTGGCTGGTGTGGTGGTGATTTTTGCCGATTCACTCAGGGCACGTTCTCACGTTGTCGATCAACTATTTGTTTTTCTTTTACCAAAACTTATTCCGCTCGGATTGTTTTTTCAGGTAAGGAAAACAGCTGAATATTTTTCTACTGGAAAAATGTTGGTGTTTATGTTATGGTTTTTCTCCCTGATTTAACCCTTTCACGGCCACGTATCAATGAAGCGCAATTGAGATGCGCATTGAAATGGAGATGTGCAGTCCGCGTGTCAGTGTGAGAGGAACAACGAACTGGTTCCTTGAGATTATCGTTCTACTGCTCCGTTCCATGACATTTTTTCCATGCATCTATAGCTTCCTTTCTGACATATCTGACATGTTTTCCTGCGCACTCCCTTGTTCTTGGACACCTCTTGTGTATGATCTAACTCTTATATGTGATTAAAAAAATAAATCGTCCATTGTCTAACCACAATGCTACTAGCTTCCCGCTTGATTTCATGTAGTAGTTGAAGTGTAATTTTGTATCTCTTTTATGTTTTTATACCCACCAGTTCCATTGGACCTTCCCAAACAGATTTTTGCAAAAATAGCTGAAAATACCCACCCATGGACCAGCCGTAGTATAAAATCTATGTTCGACAGCCAGACAGCCAGTCATTGACTACAAAGTGACGTAGACGTGTTATGCGACCAAAAGTGATGTATCTACATGAAAAAACTGAGACAGAAGCACTACTCATCAACCATGTGCATAAATAATTGTTACAATACAAGCACTTCAATCCTTTCGCGACCGCACACATTTTCGCCTGGGTGGCCCATCGGACGGCGTGCTATTGTAGCGCACGCACTGGAGGTGCGCATTGAAATAAAGATGTACGATCATGAAAGGTTCAACATAAACTCGAAATTTCAGTGGAATTCTTGAGGAAATTTCTTCTTTGCAGATGCTATCTGTCTACATTACAGTATTGGCCGCTTTTGACTGCTTCGTATCTGTAATGCGGTAAGTGGAAATCATTTTATATGATTAGGTGAGAACGATAATAAGAAATATGAAGGAGAAATAAAAAAGAAACGCATTCACTTTTTGGTTTTCTTCATGCGAAAAGAGAAACAACCGCTCTATTCAGCATTGCTAGTGCTGCTTCGTGGTTCTCGTTGAAGAAAAGAAGGAAGTGTAAATGAAATGTGGAAAAAATTATTCGAAATGTAAAAGAAAATGGTTAATGTTATAATATACATGTATAAACATGGAGTTCTAGAAAGTGACAAGCTCTATTGCAACTTTGAGTTGCCCTCTGTGATTTTTTTCCTCAACATAATCAAATGAACAGAGAGAAAATCAATATTTTTTAATTATACAGAGGTTAGACTAAAGTCGGCTTACAAAATTAGCAAAAATAATAAAAAATAACCAATATGATACTAATGGAGATAGAAATATTTTCGAGAACAAAAAGTAGTGTTTACAGTTTACATCTAGAACATCATTAGTAGAGCTCTCGGCGTTGATCAACCAATGACGGATACACCATGCATTCGACCTCATCAAGCATCGTTTGGAGGTGATTGAATGCAGATCTGGCCTCTATAATAACTCGTGGCGCGCTACTGATGTATCGACTCAGTGCTGCTATCCTTCCAGGCAGGTCTGGGTACCAATTTGTCGACTCCGGAGGAATGAAGGGCTTGGTGAGCCTGAGGTGGGGGTCGAACCCATGCGTATTACAGAACACCTTTTACCACTCCGCTACATGCACTCCTTTTTCCCTAATGTAGAATGCAAAAGTAGATTATTTGATTCTTGATTTTGAAAAATAGGAATGATTTCTGTGTGTAAATTAAAGGAACATGAGTGTTGAAAAAGGGCAGAAGCACTAAAATTTGCTTCAAATTTTGACATTTGAAGCGAATATGTGATTACTAAAACAATCTGACCCATACTTTATTAAATATCTCCAAATACTCAATGACTTTTATTTAGCGGAGCAGCAGCTCATAGCTCACGGTCGAAATGGGCGCCACGAGTATTGGCCATTGTTGTCATCACAGTCGCCGGGTACAATGTCGTTCAGTTCGCCGACCTGGAGGTACTGTAGAGAGGAACTTTCTTCTATTTCTCAGTGGTCATAGAACTTTTCCACTCTTTCTTTCTTGCAGGTTGCATGACCATCTTGTATTTTTGTTGTATTGCTCCCTCTACTTTATTCAACAGTTTTTAAAACGTCACTTGTGTGATTAGTCATCACTAATTCTGCCCGTGTTACACACCCGTTATCCATGATCTTTCCTGGAATCCTGAGGAGGCACTTCTACAGCGTTTCTATACAGACAGCACGTGAATCAGGTGGGGGAGGGGGCTTGCCGCACCGCAGACAAGTCTGATGCCACTTTGTTGACTTTAGAAGAATGAGCATGCGCATTGCGCGTATTATTGGCGGGTTCATTAACTGCTGCTCTTCCATTGCGACAAGAATGAAAATCCTCGCATTAATTCTCGTATAATCTCTCTACATTCTTAAGTGGTTTAATATCACGTCCGAGTTGACAGCGACCACCTTTTACCATCGTTTTTTTGCAAATTTACCAATTTTCTTGTAATTACAGTTAAAATTTGGTTTTTAGGCTGTAGAATGCCTGCATCCGGACAACTACACTTTATACGAGCTTTGCCCGACAAAGCTTCGAATAAGCGAACCGTATGTGGTCGTCTACAAGTGGGTTCTTCTAGCCCGTCACGGCTTCATAGCAGTTTCGCAATACTTTAGCACTATTCTTTTTTGAATTTTCAGAGGATACATGTATGCGCTAAGTATGGCTTTCATTCCATTCATAATTCTCAGTGCTCTAACGATTGGTATTCTTTATATGCTTCGGAAAAGAGGACAAAAAGCTGCAAAAGTTGTATGTGAGTTCTATGTGGTTCAAATATATCACTTATTCTAGGAAAAATCGTGCCAAGTGTTTCTCCTTTAGGAAAGAAAGAAGTGGAGGTTCTCTGAATGTGTTATAAATAAATGATAAATTTCTACCAGCGTTGTGAGAAATACAGTATACCGCTCAACCGCTTAGGTTTTCGATAAATTTTGTTTAGAATCTATTTCGTTCCCCTTGGAAGAAAATAATGCACGACACTTAAGTGGGTATTGCTCGAGTGGTTAGACATATTGTGCGACAGACACATTGGTGTTGGTTAAAACTCTTTCAAGGTCAAAAAACTCTCCCACCCTTCCAGAATCGGAAAATTGGTGCCAGACTTGTATTGAAGAAGCTCCTTCCGGTCCACAAACTTTGCCGACTGCTTGTCGTGAAGATAATGGATCTCTCTAGTATAGCTATCATATGATTGTAGAAATAATCAGCCGACCTGGATGCAGCAACATTTATGAAGAATACACCGTTCTCAAGTGCCACCTGAATCGGCTTGAAAACCTTTTGTAACAGGGAGACGACGAACCGATTGAGAGATGTTCAGTAGCCCGTGGAAGGCATAAAATCGAGTTATACAGATAAATAAATAGTTCAAACATTGTAAATGAACAATTTTTCTTTATTGTTTTTACTTATCATAGGTGTTTCGACTAAAATAAACAATCACAATGGTGCTGAGATATTTGCAAAACTCTGGACCGCAGGTGTCTACGATGGGGAACGAAAGCACTATTACCCTTTTCGTGGGCTAACGCGCTCACACAACACCATCCGGGTCCTTCGTTTCGCCTGTCTCTCAGCTAGTTTTTTAGCGATCAGTGCCATCAGCAATCATCGGTCAACGGGGTTGAGCGGGAGACAACAAATTGGCATCGAACCCAGTTAAGCTGAGGTTTTAGCCGAAATCAAAATGTCAACTTCTGAGAAGAGAAGTTCTCAGAAGTTGACATTTTGATAGAACTGAGAAGTTAAAATTGTGATTTCAAATGTATCATCAGCTTTACTGGGTTTAGTGCCGATTTGGGCAGCCCAGATCAATCCTGTTGACGAGTGATTACTGATAGCAAAAGGTCGATAGAACTAGCTGAGAGACAGGCGAAACGAAAGGACGCTCATGGTGTGGTGGTGAACGAGTTAGCACTCGGAAAGGGTAATAACGCGTACGTTTCCCACCGCAGACGCATGCGGTCCGGAGTTCTGCAAATGTCTCAGCAACGTGCTGGTTGACTTTCGCTTAATACTCTGCCATAAAAAGTTGTAGTAGGCGCAAATAAAAAGTTAACATTAAGATAAACAATGTTTTCAAAAATTTCAATGTTAGTTCAACAAAAAACGTCTTCTTAACGATACTCATTCCTATCGCCTGGCTTCTTTATGGACAAATCGAAGATTAAGGCAATCATTGATTGATCGCATTTTCACGTCCAAGTAGGGCTTAAGAAATCCTGAAGCAATAAATTAGGAGTAGCTTCAGTCACTTCATTGTGTAATAGCTCATCAATTTCAGATCGAAGGCATACAATTGTAGTTGTTTTAGCCATATTTTCATTACTATGCAATCATTTTGGTTTCTTATTTCGTTCGTTTTTTCTTGTCTGCCGATTTTCAATTTCAGGTGAAAAGGAAGATCAGGGTTCACCGCTTGTACTTCTGTTGGTGGTCGTATTGTTTCTAGCCTGCAATGTCACTTCATTACTGGTTAACATCTTTGAAATGCTGAAAATGTAAGTTGACAACAATTTTCAACCACAATGCGCACTTAGCTTAGTGGTTAAAAGTGCTTTGCAATAAATAAGCCGTCATTGGTTCGATCGCACATCGTGAGGAACCAAGCCCTCAGTCACCGCGACGTTGACAGATTGGTTAAAAACTTGTCTTGAAGAATAAAGAAACGTGATAATCAATAAGAAATCATTAAATGAGCAAAATATACATTTGATATTTGGTGAAGTTGAGAGCATGGGACATCCTCAAGAGATTGATAAACGCCGAATGCTTTATCCTCTTTTATCCGTCGTCACCATCATCCTTACCTGCTTAATGGTTACTGTATCGTCGCGATTTCGCCAGGAGTGTTCCTGGATGCCAATTTGGGAAAACAAGAAGGATTTTGCTCAATACTAAGCATGAAATATTATAATCATTATTCTGGTTACCATTATTACTGCTACATTACCGTCGCCGTGATCGTCAACGATAGCATCGGTTTCCTTTAGCAATTTTATAAAAAGCTTGCTTGAATACTCAGTGGCCCATCTTCACAGATTGTGCGGGTCCCAGCAAATTTTCCATACGTTTTTTTCTCGTGCAAATGTCGTCAATGATGTTCGTCTTCTTCGAACATGGTGGCGTCCTGTGGGCCGATTTCGTAATCCTTAAATCGTTGTCATCTGCGAATGCAGATGGCTGACGCTAGCTACGAATACATACGCCCACTGTTTGAGTGGTTTTCCAAGAGGACGCTAGGATTCTCTTGCAGTCCACTCTGCTCTTTTTTTCGTCCATCTGTCACCTCTTCTTACTATTTGACCAGCCCATCTGTGTTTCGCTATCGACACATTCTCCTGGATCTCGAAGATGACACAGGTGCTGAAAACGTGAGGTGCGGATTCCTGCCAAGTGTTGTGAATGCCGGTTAAGTTTCAGAATATATCGTTCAAACGCTCTGTGGGTGGTACAAGTATTCTCGACGTGGTTGAGGTATCAGCCCACATCTCTGCTGCATAACGGAGTGCTCGTATAACTTTTCAACGGTAGTTCTGTATAAAAAAATTAAACGAATTGCTCAAATCTTAGCCTTTTTATTTACTGCTTATTCTTTTTAACGGCAGGGTATGTTGCGAAATATAACTTCTATAATGCTGAGATATTTGCAAAACTCCGGACAGCAGGTGTCTGCGGTAGGGAGCGAACGCGCTGTTATCCTTACCGGGAGCAACGCCTTCACCACCACACTATGCGGGTCCTTCGTTTCGCATGTTTCTCAGCTAGTTTTACTCCCCGGAAAGGACAATAGCGCGTTCGTTCCCTACCGCCCACACTTTCGGTCTGGAATTTTGCAAATTGTTTAAGTTTGGATCATGTACAAGTGTCCTATAACCTTAGTTATGGGTCATCTAACAATCCACTCCAAAAATCTGAAATTAGAGAAAAAACTCATGAATTATTAGGGATTACACAAAGCTTTGATAACATTCATTCCGTATGTCAAGTCAATCGTGAGTAATTCTTCAAGTACGGAATTCAGTTGACACCTCTACCACATCGAATAACTCTGATACCATTGACCACTATTTGTTCTCATAGACCAGCGTTCAGCGGGTTCGGCTACTTCCGCTCAGAAGAGTACTATATTTTTGGTCCAATACCAAAAATACTACTATACTGCTTTTATTTCTACTGTTATCGATGGAAAAGCGAAACGGCGATGCGTATTCTGTACGTAAAGATTCTATTTATATAACTGATTAGTACTTCAGATAACAAAATTAACCACAAGATGAAATATACAAGCTTAGATTTGAAATCCGCGATTATTTTCACCAGATGCATTGAAATCACTTCGTTTCGTCCCTGTTAAAGCTAGATAGATCGTAGCTCTCTGCTTCCACTACTCATCTCACTTCGAAATAATGGACATCGTTTTGCTAGAAAAGAGTGGTGAACTATTGAATATGCCAACCTATCTTCTCAAATTTGCGTGTTCTTATGGTAAAAAATATAATAAACTGGGTTAAAGTAACTCGAAAGACCGACTTTCTATAAACCTCGGCATAGATAGTTGATATATTTATTTATGTGATCTTATAAACTGATCTTCTTAAGCTGACGCGAGGTTGGTACAGATGGGTTAAAGTAGTTCGAATGGAGTTGTAGCGAAAGCTATACGGTGACGTGCATTTAAAAACTTTGCTTTTACTAGAAATCCGAGCAAGCCCATATCATTGTCTCAAAAATTGGAAAGGAATAAAAAATAATTCTGATCAAGCGCTGGTCAATTTTTCGGAGATTCACTGTGCATTCAACTCAGTCCATCGCTTCGTATGGGTGACTAAATGTGCATTTGTCTTAAAAGGTGACGTGAAGAGTCCTATGGTGCGCGGAATCGAACCAGAGACTGTGTGCAATGCTCAACGCCTTTTAGTATTGTACCATGCACAACCCTCTAATTTTGATACTGAACGCTACACAGATCCTTAATATAGCGGACTCCTTTTTTTCTCTAAATGAACAACATTTCGTTACAGTCTGATATTAATATACCCACGTTTCAGACATCTGGGAGATGCGGCGAATGCGATTCTAATCGATGTCGGCAATTTTCTTGTAGTCGTGAATGCGACGGCGAATTTTTTTGTCTACTGGGGTTCGTCACAAGATTATCAGTCAGCTGTACGTAGGCTGATTCGGAAATACACAACAAAAAGAAAGACTGTTGAATTGGTGAACGCATCTCAAGAAACCAACGCCGAATTCGTCTGATGACACCTCCCTAAAAACCGTTGGTGCTAAGCGACTCGCAGAAAATGTTTCTCTCTGAGCCAAGCTTGTAAGGTTCAGCTGCTCAAATAATATGGAACTAACGGAAGCACTTCAAAGTTCATAACATGCATTTGGTTAGTATATTCTGATTCGGTTGGTTCCTGGGAGGGAGATGTCAAAAAACTCTCAATATAGATGCTCTGCAGAAAGAACGAGCTACCTCGAACGGCTTCCGAATATTTTAGCAGTTTTCAAGTCAGAAAATCAAATTCTCTTGGAATAGCGCGACAAAACTACTGTAATTTGTATGACATTCATCGAAGCGATTAAGGTCTTTGTTTGCATAGGCAGCGCCTAGTCTTTGCATGACTACTGCGATGATATGTGGGCATGATGTACCTGGCCCTAGTTATCGCACCCACTTCCAGCAATCCTATCGATTCCAAAAGCTTCGCGTGCGAAAATCTTTGGTTGGTTTCCGTTGTCGCGCGCGACTGAACTTCTCACCAGGCAGCAGTTTGTAGTCGACAGTACGTCGTTCACGTCGAGTTTTCACAAAATCGTGATAGAGGGAAAACACGTTAATATAAAAAAGGCTTGACTTCGAGAGCAGTGAACTAAAGTTATGACTCAACTTTGATTCGTTGTTCACGAAATTTCTTGTAACACAAGCAGTATTTCGATCTGTAATTGTCCATGTCAGTTAGTTGCAATACAAACGGGTTACTGTATATCAGTGTACTATATAATTTGTGCATAAATCATATTGTGCCTTTTATGAAAATAAATTCTATTCCAGTAGCTAAACTTTTACATGATTTCGGGTCATCAGAGACTAATCATACGCAGAACTATCCGTTTCAACAACAACTCAAGGTGAGCGTGCAATTCCACCCAAATCGCGTTTGTTGAAGGTGACTGACCAACGACTGATTAGTGGTGATTGTTGAGGAAAAACTGAAAAACTACTCCTTATAAGCCAATCTTCATCTAACGTCAGCACACGCAACCACTATCTCGGTTTAAAAACAAGTTACATGACTTTGCAGCGACACTTTATAGGACCAAAAAACCGTTCACCGCAACTGCCTACTTTAGAGGCACAAAGGCTCAACGAATTCGGGTGAAATGAGTCTTCACATTAGCAAAGAGTCATATGTGATGCAGTGCAAAACCAAGCAAATGAAGTTGCTTCATTCGGTGGTATCGTTTTTATACACGGACGGCATCGATCACAAGAATCCAAGAAATCAGCGCGCACGAATCTCGAGGAATTTTACACAATTTTCAGAATCCATGCATTAACCGCAGGGTGGAGTGTCTTGCTATCACGCATGGCATTTCACAACAGCTCATTCTGATTGTTTAACCCAAGGCAGGCACGTTCCCTAACAATGAAAACCCTGCACAGCTGGTCTCCATCGATGAAGGGAAGACTTATAAAGAACAAAATGGCTCAAAAAAGCTGCTTTTCATGCGATTGTGGTCTATTTTTTGAGTTTGTTCTTTTTGAGCATTGAATATGCGAAATATGAGTTTTTATGTATAATTTCTCTATCTTACATAATTCATGTATTAACTTTTATCTGTCGAGGTTATGAAGATGTTTGGCCGAGTAGAGTGACTGCCAATTTGACCTTTCCAGGCCCTGAAGAAGGAGAAACCGCAGATGCGTCATGCACTAAACGCTACGATAACAACCTCGTGTTTGCTCATGAAGAAAAACGGTAAATTATGGGGAATGTTTAATCCATAACGAACCGCCACTGTATTTCGTCATTGGCCCAACCGATTACGTGAAATTTTTCTCGCCTACCTAGCTTCTGGTCTTTTGACAATAAAAAGTAATTTTCAGCAACAAGAGTGGATTGGAGTGGGGGTTGAAAGCACAATAGAATTGTAGAAAAGACTGCGTCCTATCGTTCTATGCGTATGAACGAAATGTATGCCACTCTCTGTTACTATGGTTCGATCCATTACTGTTGGCATTTGGATGTAGTTCCAGTTTATGTTGTGTTTATTTCATTGCTTTTATATCAACACATTCCAAACGGTGACCACAGCAATTGAACATAAAGAACAATGCATGATTTTTTATCTACTGCCTTCTAGTTTTTCACGAAGGGATATCGTGTGAAATACAAACAATGATACTGAGGAAACTGCAAAACTTGGACAGCAACCTAGATTCGAACTTATGATTACCCTTTATGAAGATTCGCGTGTTACCCACCGAACCACTAAGGTTCTGCCTTTCTCTAGAGCACTGTTTTACGCTAACGGTGCCATCGGCAATCACCAGTTAACGGGAATGCCGTGATATCTTTGGCGAGTGATTGCTGATGCCACCGTCAGGGTAAGAAACTGGTTGAAGGAAGGAATAGTTATTTGTTAGTCAAATTACCAGCCAATGAACTTTTTAGAAAGAAGGGTTTTTGCAAATCATTAAGCGTATAGGGTGATGTTTCTGGCTACACCTCTTGCTATTTTGGTGCGCTTTCGATTGCCTATTGAATATACATAGTACGGTAAAGGACTCTAAACTCTACTAAGCTCAATGTATTGCTATCATTCGTTGTCAAACATGCACTTAACATTTTTTATAACACAAGGGCTATAAGGTGGCTGTTTCGTCAAGAATAATGCACCCTGGTGAAAACACTCAAAAATAGCTTCTTCGGTGGATATTACTGTCAAATACTAACAAAATTTAACGTACTCCTTTCATCACAGTCAGAAATGCACACTGAACAGTTGTAAAAATACAAGGGTTTCTAGAGCTGCTATATTAAAAAGTTAACATGGACACTATGGTGTTCGTATGGTCGTTTGGTCCACCCGTGATCACGGGTGATTGCTGACGGCCGTGATCGATAGAACTAGCTGAGAGACAGGCGAAACGAAGGACCCACATGGTGTGGTGGTGAACGCGTTAGCCCCCGGAAAGGGTAATAGCGCATTCGTTCCCCACCGCAGATACCTGCGATCCAGAGTTTTGCAAATATCTCAGCATCAATAAAGTTACATTTGGCAAAATGTTTTGCCATTAAAAAGAGTAGGCCGTAAATAATAAGTTAGAATTATGGCGTTATTGTTTTTGGCATAGCAGAGGGATTTACTACCAAATATAGTACTCTCGTTAAAAAACGAAGCATAAATCGTACGTACTAACCAACGAAAAATCCAGAAAGTTGTCCTGAACCCACACTGGGTAGTCCATTAAACTGAAAATTTCACAATATTAAACTTTACCTGATGGTGCTTGCAGTGAAATAGTACGGTGTTCCGCAATACATACCGGATCGGTTGCAGGTTCGATCCCACGCTCGGGTAAAACATTGATCTGATACACCAGTAGGGCACTACAAGCCATTGTGTAAGTCTAACATTCATTCATTCACTTCAGCGATGTCACGACTAAAGTTGAGTACAGGGTATGAGCGTTGAAGGCATTACCCTTCTGTTCTTTAAAGCTTATCAATTCTGTTGCATATACTCAATCCGATAATGCGTCAAGAACCTGAGAGAGCTTTAAAGGCATCTGAACTCGGTAGAATTAAGCTGTGTAAATGGAAGTTGTGTTCAACTTATGATTATTTCTAAGAGCCTAAAAAGAAGCTTTCTGGCCCTTCTATTTTTTTCTTCAAATGATCGAATTTGACTGGATTTGTGTTCAGGATTAAAGTGGTATCTTTGAAAGCTGAGGGTGATTATCATCTGATCACATGACACCTACCATTTGATGGCTGTTATGACTTGTCCTCTATATATCGTCTTTCCTTCTTTCTTTTTTTAATAGCTTACATTTGCCTTTTACCTGTGTTTCTCAATACAGTGCATAGTCTAAAATTTTTTATGTGATGTGATACCATAGTTTTTTCCGTCTTCACGTCTATTGTACGGATCCCACCACTTCTCAAATTCGATTCGTTTCCTCACATCCATTGTCCACGAAGAACTTCCCACTTTTATGTGTGTCTTCGGTTGCTGCTTGAAGATTTCCATTTCATCTAGAATGTCGTAGAAAGCTGGTCGAGCAATTCTCCTTGGAGACCTGGGATAGCCGGGCTGGAGCTTTCCCAATTGGATTGCGAGAGTGATTTCTTTCCCGGACAAGTCCTGTACCAATTTGCCGCCTCCGGAAGCACAAGAGGCTTGGTTGTCCCAGAGCGGGATCGAACTAGCACCATGCTTGTGATGACGGCATCACTACCGCTGTGCTATCTGCCCACTTGGTGATACCATAGTTATATATGCTAATTGATAACAATAACCTCTTAGGTCATTATCACTGACTATCATATGCGATCATAAAGCTGGCCATTGAACTTTTCTTTATCAAACATAGATAGACTACTTTTACGGGCCAGTATGTTGCATTCCGCTTTCAATGGAGCCATCAACAGGGAGTATGCTAACGACGAAAGTCGTCACGGAAGAGCGTTCAAACGAAGTGGTGAGAAAAACTTTTATGTACATATTTCTATTTTTTCGCAGCTATACATTCTTAAAATATGAATTCGCTTCTAACTTCTAATTTAAATCAGTTCGGTGCTCTACAAGATTTATTGCATATAATTGAGCTGGTCTTTGATCCCTGTTATGCAACACTTCGACTACTTGAGAATCGAACCTAAGGTTGCTGGCAAAACGTTCCAAGATGATCTTACTCGAAATCTCTTAGCTAGGATGAATTGAGAATTTCCTCATTTGTGCTATTTAACCTTAACAATAGGAATTTAAATAAACTCGAAGTAGATGAGAAAACGAGAAAAAACACGAGAAAAAGTAGACAACAGGTATCGCTTGTACCACAACAGAAGGAAATTACACCGATTGCCCAACCACAGTGAGCAGGTTAAATAGCAACATAGGAAACTTGGAGAAATATACTTTCATTATTACGTGGGCCGCCTGAATTTTTACACATATGAAACTAAGTTCAGCGAAGGCATTGAGTTGCACGAATTGGGTTAACATTGACGAGTTTAATGACAAGCTCACATCGAATAGAAAACAATCGATAAGCAATTTTTTGCGAAGTGTTTCTCGGGGTTATTAAAATATTGGGAAGCCTAGCATACCTACGTTTCCTTGTTGTAGAATTGCTAAAAAACAAAATTACAGCAACCACGATGATATCAACGTAGTCGGGTTTAAATCCACTTCTTCTTGTGTTTGTTCTATTAACATCGTGGTATATCACTTTCCTTTAGCCCTAAAACCTATGCTACATTGCTTTAGTAATAAACCTTCACTAGTAACCACAGTTTTTGTTAAATTAACGACTCATTCTTTACCTTTATCTTCTATTTCACTAAGGATCGTTGTTAGTTCGTCGATTTTTGTGCAGACAAGTAAGTTTTAGAATTAAATCAATCGAAAATAAACAGGAAACGATTGCAGCCGGATAAAGCAAGGTTTATGATATTTTGAAACCAAACTTAGAGACATTTATCATCTCTTTATCACAGCAATTCATTCCGTAGTGAAAAAGGCACGGTTGTGAAATCAAGGTTCGCTCCACGACCATTGGATCATGAGCGCCTGTGGTCTCTGAAGACCGATTTCTATTTTCGTCGAGTCATTTCTATCAAACTGACGAATGATTTTCAACAGATATTTTTGTTTAAAGGAAGAACTCGTTCTACGCCTGCGATCTGCACCCGAAGAACCGCATGTGACTTGGGCAGCGGACGTTGTTGGTAGGAAAATTAATACAAACATAGAAACAAGTGATTGTGACGATTTTTCTGATTCCTATAAAAAAACATAGTGGACAGTACAGTGGTATTGAATTCTGTCATTACAAGCACGGTGGTGCTCTGAGCCAACCAAGGCTCTCATCCCTACGGGGTCGGGAAAATTGGTTCTGGCCTTTTCTAGAGAAAATCACTCTCTGCAATCCAAATAGGATCCCTGTAGCCCGGCTATTTTAAGATTCCAAAGAGAATCGACTCGATCAGCATTTAACGACATTCACGGTGAAAGCAATGTCCTCAAGCAGCGCCAAATACACACCTTAATGGTAGAAAACCTTCGTGGATGATGTATGTGAGAAAACAAATCGAGTGTGAGAAGTGCTGGGATCGACACAGTACAAGAGACAGGCGTGCAGTATAATGAAAAATAAAAAATCAACACAAAAAATTCAAAATAATTCCGTAAAATTCAGACAATGAACACCTTGGACGTTTGAAATCGAATTGCTGTTGTATTTACACTCGTCCACGCCAGTGGGACGATCCAACGACTTGGGAGCAAGATGAAGCTGAGGTATAGTCTAAGCAAACCAATCCTAACTCTATTTCTTTATATAATTGTAACTTTAGAAGACAGTGACAGCCTCACCTGTTGAGCCAGAGGTTATTAGACTTCTGAAAAAAATGCGTCGCCAACGTTTCTCGAAAAGGAGTAAAATGAAACCACTTGCAAATTTCGCTGTGGTTAACCAATTTCATAAAACAACACATTTTTACAGTGCAAAACTCTTTTAGGAAAAACGAATACAAACAGGTGAAAACAAGAAAATAAAATTATGGTGAGGTTTTCAGACGGAGCACTGTCGTGGGCACACACTGCCTCCACCACGGAAGCCAGACGGCGGCGAAAACGTGAACACAAAAGGAAACGATAGTGTCGAGCAACCTCAAGGAAGCCATTGCTATTGAGACTAACCCATTTATTTGGCTTGACTGATAAAGATGTTAACGATGTGAATAAATCGTGAAAAAATGCTGGCATTAATGTTAATATGAGATCTGATAGAAATCTTCAAAACAGTGGATGGAGATACTTGCCAACTCCGGACGGACCGCAGGTGTCTGTGGTGGGAACGAGCGTGCTATTACTCTTTTTGGGTGCTAACGCGTTCACCACCACATCATGCGGGTCCTTCGTTACGCCTGTCTCTCAGCTAGTTCTGTCGATCACTGCCATCAGCAATCACCCGTCAAGGGGATTCATCTGAGAAGCCAAAATCGGCATTAAACCCAGTTAAGCTGTGGCTATAGTTATAATCACAATCTTAACTTTTTATTTACTGCCTATTCTTTTTAATGGTAGAAATGTTACGAGGATTTGGATTCCCAGTACAATCCCGTTGACGGATGATTGCTGATGGTAGTGATCGATAGAATTAGCTGAGAGACAGGCGAAGCGAAGGACCCACATGGTGTGGTGGTGAACGCGTTACTCCCCGGTAAGGATAACAGCGTGTTCGCTCCCTTCCGCAGACACCTGCGGTCTGGAGCTTCGCAAATATTTCAGCGTCATTGCAGTTGTATCACACATAATATCTTTATGTAAAAATTGTAAAAAGCAGCAAATAAAAAGTTTACATCACTTTAATTCCATTAGAACTAAAAGAATTTGCGTTGAATCGATTCAAATATCAGATTGGCTTAAAAATGTATCGGAAACGCCATAGATGTTAAAAATTTATTCCATAGAAAATGCTGAAATCACATCTGAAAGCAAATTTTTGGTTTTCTTTATTCGTTTAGGAAGGTCACATCAAGTTCAGCGCCATGTTATAGACTAGAGGTTTTGGGTGGTATTCCGATGGTGGTAGCGAAGGGTACATCAGTCGAAGCCTTCTTCGTCAAAAAAGAAACTTTTGGCTGGAGCAAATCACATGATAAAAGCAACCTTTTTAAAGGATTTAAATAATAAAGTGAGTCGAAATATACTTTAAAATATATGAAAACAATCGTAAACTTTAGTTTTAAATTAGCATATTTAGATATCCTTAGTTTTAAAGCGCAAACAGAGAACATTTCAAGGTTGCTCCACCTTCCGGAGAAAGCATGGGTGTAAAATGTCGATTGAAATCTTTTTCATCGATTGAACCTTTCGGTGGCGCGAATCGTATCACGAAGAAAAGGTCCTGCAAAGATTGTCGTTACCGTATAAATATCAGAAGGCAGAAAAGTGAAAAGAAGCTGGAGTACACGCTTGGAAAGTGCTAAATGTGGCACTTTAAACTTCAAAATGGGCAATACTTTGTGTCTCTTTCTTCAAATTGAGCAGGACAAAATTCGCTTTCACTTCCATGTTCATGAAAACTAGAGAAAAAGCCGCACTTATCAAAAATGCTGTTTTCGAAAAAGTTCGATCACTTTCATCGAAAATGAAAAAATTCCATTTCTAAAAACTGTTGACGCATAGCTGTTAAATGGTCCCGCTTAGGCGTTAGACGATTGCAAAGAAGTAAAGGAAAGTACAAAAAATACCGTCCCTCTAACCACTGGTGATGTACTTACTTGGATGCTTGGATGATGCGCGTCTTCACTTGTTGTGCGGGCCCCAATTCAATATCCATCGTGGGATTTTGCTCGTTGAGCCATTTTAGCTCCCTCGGCTACCGAGGTCAGCCAGGCCAAAGTCTGCACTAGGTCGTCACCACCACAGGCATCCACCGCCCTTGTGAATCAATGAGGGATTTGCCACAACGCGACTGGTTTGATGCCAGGACGGTGGTGAGTCTTGGTATTGCTCTACTCTTAACTGGGCTTCCTAATAGAAGCGCCGGACTCCTTTTCAGCTTGCCCTGCCATGGGGACGAATCCCACTGCCATACATCGCAGCCCGACACCGAGGAACACGTCCCAGCCACGATGATGCGGTAAGCCGTTGGGAGGTTGGTCAGAAAAGGCGTAATATTTAGCATACATGTAATAGGTCGAATACTAAAATATTCGATTACTCGACTAGGAGATTACTCGACGCTAACAGAGTCCTGGTTCTTTAGCACCAACTATCGTGTCGCATCTTTTCATTTGTTTATTAATTTTTGATGACACTCTTATTGATGATTAATTCGCATTTGATGTTGATGTGAACTTATGTCGAATCGATAAGTATGAGTTGCACTGCCTTATTTAATTTCATTCGTTTGTATGAGGATCGTTCTTACTTACTTTGAATCCTCTAGTACATATGAAGCAGATGATCGGAGTGACTAAAGCGTTAATATTCATAAGAAGATTTGATAAGTCGACAAGCCAAACCAATTCTTGTGCATCCACCAGCCCTCCTGCTGATATCCTAGACAGAAAAAAATTCAATGCGCTATTTATTCTTGAAGACAAATCAATTATATATAATCATACGAACTACGCTTGTTGAGCTGGTGTAAGGTTGGCACAAGTTGCAGTTGTTGTTGTTGTTGTTGTTGTTATCGTATTGTTGTTGTTCGATGGCTGACGTTTCGGTGAGTTCGTCTCCCTCAGAGCCTAGACGTATTATAAGTAACAATCGAATATTCGGCGTAACAATAGCCTTATAATTCGGTGAAATATCTGGTTTTTTGACCCAGGTAGATCTTACTTGTCATCCCAGGTAAGCAACAATGGCTGGCCGCACACGCAAAGCACGCTGAATAGTTTTTAAAACAAAATGACGTTCATCTACGTGTTAGATTTTCATTAAAACTACTGATTTTTCACCGAATTGTAAGGCTATTTTTACATAAAATACGTCTAGGCTGTGAGGAAGGTGATGTCATCGAAACGTCGGCCGTGGAACCACAATAACAACAACAGTAAAAACAACAACAGCGACAACAACAACGATGCCAACTTACACTAACTTCGTCTCAGCTCAATAAGAGCAGTTCGTAAGAGTATATGTAGATATTTCGATTACTTATGCGGAGGGTAATAAAAAGTCGGCCTTTTAAAATATTGAAATCAATCGTAGTCAAGATTATTTCAAAACACCTTGTTTTACTTCGATTTTAATAATCACTTGGTCTTCAAAAGCTATTCAGTTTTACGTGGACGCTCGCACGGCTGTGGTTGGTGCTCCAAGATTATTTACGAAGTATAAGACGTTAGATCGATGCCGTACCTTGAGCCCACCAACCCTTTCATCCGCCGGTGCCAGTATTTTGAGATTAGAGTAGTTTGAGGAAACAAAAAGATTGATTTTATACAATGTAAGGAACCACGGGTCATTGTGTAGACTCGTACGCATTCAACGCCTTCATGTTGCTACGAAGGGAGTTGATTGTATGGCATAACACCTAAGAGATTAATCAACTCTGATTACGCTTCGATTTTACCATATGACTCTCAATTACTGCGAGGAAGAAAAAAGATCTTCAAGAAAACAACTTACATAAACAGCCTGATTGATGCAGAAAGTGTGGTGCAAAGGAAGAAGAACACAAACACACAAACCGTCATCAATGCCGTTCGATACTCGGCTGGTCGTCGTGAGGCCTGTACATGAAGCTGGAAAACGGTATTTTCAGTCTATGTCGAAAATCTGGCTACTACCGGACATCATCTAGCGGTACGGTCTCTGGCAACAATAGCAAATAGCAAATAGCCGAATGCCCTTATTGCCGTTTTCTTCAGATTCCTCAGGCTTAATTCTCATCGCAAATTGTTACTTCCCTGTTTTCAACGCATGATTACCACAACTCGCATAAATGTTACCTAATACAATAATTAAACGCTGTTCTCATGTTACTCGTTTGCAACGAAAACGGTAACAAAGGACCTTTTTGATCTACTACGTTTTTCTTGAAATTTATGTAATTTCATAGAACTTAGAAACATAGAGTTCGGGTTAAGAAGTAACTGAATGCCTCAGTTAAGAACACGATTCAATCAAGGAAGTTTTGCTTTGGTGGAGCAAATCTGCCATTTAGGAGTGTTGACAAGCGAAATCCGATGCACGTTACGCTAGAATCCTAATGATTCACCAGCGTCTTCAATACGAATTATATCTATTTTCCACGTAACTTTCTCAACTAAGTACTGCTTCATTTAAACGATGGTCAGTACTTGGAACTTGCTAACAATATAATAGTAGTACTAATGCTAACCATAATCTTCCATATGAACCAACGGCTTTCGAAAAGAAGAAATTGTGAAGAAAAATACCTGTTCGCCACGTATTAAACGTATGATGTTCAAATTTAACCATAGGAGTAGACAAATTGGAAGACCGTATACAATTAATCCGTATACGATTCCTTCCTGGATGACTTTGTACAACAGATCGTCACTGAAAAAAAAGGTTCGCTACCATCATCTTCTTTAAAGGAGTCCTATACAGAAGAAAAAAACAATAAATCATTCAAAATCTCTGTTGACGTTGAGCGGAACGGTAGTATTAATCCTCTAATTCTACGGTCGCTTAGTAATTCATTCATGCTCTTTCAAACAGAGCGATTTGAACTTCTACCAATTGCATATTTTTTAAGGTCAAGGAATATCTCTGGCAAAACATCATTAATATGTAGAAAATTGTAAAGGATTAAAAATTCACCAGGGCGCGTGTGGAACAGTGGTCGGAGGCGCCCAGCAACGCATACGTGGAATCGATCCCCACGTCCTTGGTTCATCAAGCCTTCCATCATTCCAGAGTCGGCAAACTGTTACCAGACTTGTAAAGGAGAATAGCAGCACTAGCTCGATACATCGGTAGGCACGGCGAATCATTGTAAAGGCTAGATGTGCATTCAATCACTTCCAAACGACGCTTCATGAAGTCGAACGCATCGAGCATCTTTCATGGATTGATCAATGCTGAGAGCTTTATACTTTATCCTTTTTCAGGAATTCGGAATTCACCAACGGAACGGTGATGCATTCCAAACAGTTCGCAAGGTCTACCGTAGAGTTCCTCGTCTAGTGGATGTAAGAATTTTGTTAGAAGAAAAAATGTAAGACGATAATTTTAAAATTTCGAGTTTGTTGATAAGTTTTGCAGAAAAATTCGGATATACTTGGTTTTTTATCCGTTAATCTAATTGGAATCTACAACATAGGGACCTTAACGGAATCACCTAATGAATAAATCAATGTTTTACTCATTTTAGACATTAGCAGAAAGAATACAGAACCTGGCCGAAATAATGAACTGAGTAAAGCTGATTGAAAGGGTGACAGAATGAGTGGACCTATCTCAAATACCGTACACTTGCTAGTTACTGCTTTTTCCGCCTTTTTTTTCCGGATGTTTGCCAAAAGAAATGTCTCAAACATCGTCCGATTCTAAGAAAGGTCTTCGAGACGATTTTGTTGTTGAGTATGTGGAGAGAAGTAAGTCTCAAGTCAAGTCTACGGTAAACATATTGTTTTTGTGACTTAGTGAAATGTACGAAAATATGGAAAGGAACAATCTGTTTTCAACAAAATACACATTACACTAAGCAGGAAAAACTCAGGAAAGAAAAGAGTCCAAGACTGTATTCAATTATCCTTTAACATCCCATTATCGAGCTCATTGAAAGCCTGTAGATTTTCGCTTTTACTTCAGAATATTTCGATAAATAAAAAGGGTAAAGCTCCCCGAGTTGATCAATCCCTGAGTGATGTGCCATGGATTCGACTTCATTAAGCATCGTTTGGAGCTGACTGAATCTGGCAGATCTGGCCTCTACATGACTCGCGGTGGGTTACCGATGTATCGAGTTAGTGCTGTTGTCCTCCCAGATAAGTCTGGTACCAATTTGCCGACTCCGGAGTGATGGAACGCTTCGTGTGCCATGGCCGCGAGGATCGATACCATGTGTGTGTTGCAGAGTGCCTCAGGCAACTGCGCCACATGCGCCCTCAGAATATTTCGATAAATCGGATAAATTTCACAGCAAACTTCTATACTCACCGGGGTAAAAACTGTTTTCTATGAAAGATTCAGAAAAAGGAGAAACTACTATAATGGAAAACTAGGCTTCCACTACATGAAAGTCTTTTTTTATTGCAAAGTTCAGGAAAGTTTTCTAGCCACCCACAATCTGGATTTATCACACTTACCGTAGGCCTGAACTCACAATGCCACCATGATCAGCATGCCATTCCATCTCCCAGAAACGAATCACATTCAAAGCTGCAAGGTGGTTCTGATCTCTTTTTTGTTATGAAGAATGTTATAATGAACCTTTATTGATGTAATTGTAAATCTCACGAACCAAAAAAACCATTGAGTAAGAATATTTCTTTTTCAAATGCTATGGAGTAGTTTCAACCTTCTCTATCCATCACCAGAAACAGTTTAAAAACTATTTAGAATGAAAATGCAGCGTGAAGCATTTTCACTTATCTATGACGCCCACCTAAAGCGGCTCCCACAACGACTATCACTGCCCCTTTACTTCTTCGGATACAAGTCAATCGCAATTTCCACGGATTCGATGGATGACAAATCGCCTAAAATTCTTTCTTAATTTAGAATTTAGAACTAAAAATGACAGGAATTTGAACAAAAAAATCCCATATTAAAGTATTCATTGCTAATGCCGTAGAGTGTTTACGTCGCGTTAGTGCAAAGTATGCCCATTGACCGAACGGTCGATTTTTGTGAATGTATTTATGTACATCCCTTATGTTAACTGCTATCGTATTCGTACAATAAACTGCTTCAGAAAAAAGACATTTTTCTACAAATTTTACAAACAACCGTTGTTGAGCTGACGCGGGATTCGTACTAGTTGTTGCCCTTAGAGCACGAAAGTACCACCACAACTAATAAAGTGGCTCCGAAGAAAGCGAACAGCCAAAACGTCAGCAATGAAATCACAAAGGCAGCAGCAACAACAACAACAAAGGCAACAACGAAAACCACAGCAACTATAACAACTTAGATAAACCTCGCTCGCGTCAGGTCAACAAAGGTAGTTCGCAAGAATTACATATACATGGGTACATGAATGGCCCATCTTCACTGGTTCTGCGAGCCCTAACATAGTTTCCATTCTACGAAGATTTGCTGGTTAAGTCACTGTGGTCCCCTGGAGTCCCGAGGACAGCCTGGCCAAAGTCTGCTCCAGGTCGTCACAACCAAAGGCAGTTGCAGCCCCTGTGGATCAGAGGGAGATTTGTTACCACGCGACTAGTTTGGTACCAGGACGGTGGTAGAACCTAGTATTGGTTTACACTTAGCTGGGCTTCCTCATGTAACCGCTGGAATTCTTCTCAGTTTGGGTGACCCTGCTGGAGGAACGAATCTTCCGGCTGTACATCGCAACCCTACACCCAGAAACAGCCCCAAGCCACGATGAGACGGTAAACGGTTGGCAGCAGAATTACATACAATGACTATTAATTTTGAGTCTTATAGATAATCGGCCTTTCGACTTACTTTGTATAGTGTTACAACGATAATTAAAGTGATAGGGATCGACTAATACCTGGAATCTTTGGGCACAAATCAATGTGAGGAGCCAGATTGCTGCATAATTTGCTGCCAGCATTAATGGATAACCGAGTCGCACTGTGATAGCGTTCATTCTATGCAAATTTTCTGCCTTTCGTGGAAACTCCAAACCGATAAACTGAATGAATGCTGAGTTTAGGCACGAGTCCTACCAAAGCAAAAAATCTTTGGCTTCTTATCAGCTATTAAGAAATGTAGCTCACAAAAATGAGCAAATTCACCGTCACACTGATTTGTCACCTAACGAACTGAATTTGGTGAAATGAGCCCAAACTATAAAATCAAGCGATTCATTTATTGTATAAAAAGCAAAAATGTAAATAGATAAATAGACTAATGAACCTGTTCCATTGCCGGTAGGACGATGACGAAAATTGATAGAAGAAGCTGTAGAGCATTACAGGTCGACAATGCGATAAAGTAGAACAGAAGGCTCGTCTTTCGAAAATATCCGTGGCTTGAAACGCTAAATACACATGTCTTTTCCATAAAGTGAAAAGAAGTTTCGAGTAAATATTGACTAAACACCATCAGGGACAATATATGACAGAGCGTTGTCATAGCTCAATTCTTTAACGTGGTCCTGGCTACGATCCGAGATAAATTTGTTCGGCAAAAAGGCAATTAAAAATGGTGACTTTTTATTTTCTGCCTACTATAATTTTTCACGGCAGAGCACTATGCCGCTATGCGAAATACAACCACAATGATGCTGAAATATTTCCAAAACTCCGGACCACAGGTGTCTGCGGTGGGGAACGAACGCGATATTACCCTTTCCGGGTGCTTACGCGTTCACCACCACACCATGCGGATCTTTCGTTTCGCCTGTCTCTCAGCTAGTTCTATGGATCATTGCCATCAGCAATAACCAGTCAACGGAATTGGGCCGAGAAGCCCAAATTGGGATGTAATTAAAAATAGATAGGATGGATAAATCTGAAAAGATCTGGGAAGCCCACATCGGCATTGAACCCAGTTAAGCTGAGGCTGTAGTTGAAATCACAATGTTTTACCTTTTTATTTCGCTTAGTACCCTGCCGTGAAAATTGTAGTAGGCAGAAAATAAAAGGTAAAAATGTTAAGTTTGTCAACACAACATGAATCAGCAAATAATGTTTACAGAGACAATCAGATGCTCACCTTAGAAATACTGCGATACAGGCACAGTTGAGAAGAAATCCAATCGAACACAATAGTGGCTCGACATACACCACTAGCACGCAACTGAATGTACACACACATATGTATATATAACTATACACAGCTTATATGTGTAAGTACGTACATGTATGGATATACCTATCTGTATAACCATGAGTATATTTGTCACCGCTTCCTCCCAAATGGTTCTGTTAATGATTTGATGATGTCTGTCTCTATAGTTACACCTACTACCGTACACACCTGGCATTATTCAGCCATTCAGAGTAATCGAATTCTGACGTCAGGATTTCAGATTCTACTCGTTCAACGTTTAACGCTTGAACGTTGTCCATATGTGCTTCGGTGATGAGTCGCATTCGATAACACCACGTTCTCTACATAGAATTCGAGTAGGCGAAAATTTGCTTACAATGTAGTTAACAACTCATGTAAGAACCAGTAACGACATCCGAATAAGATGAAAAATTGTACGAACGAGCGTAGATCAACTAGCATCAGAAAATCATGTAATAGAATATTATAGACCATATGCATTTATGTGAATGCATGCCGGCGTAGAAGACCACTAGTCGTATTGCACGCATCACCCATTACATGGTAACTTCACAAAATTGTGCTTAATACCTTAAATAATCGTAAAGAATAAAAAATAAAGCGAGAAAAAAATGAAAGTGAACTCTATGAATGATTTCCACGATAGACTTTCTGGTAACCTCAGCAATGATCGAACAATTCTTCATGTTTTTGTTAAACAAACATGAGGTGCTACCTTACTTCTTTATTTCCAAGCTGACGTTTCCGCAAATTTCGCCATAACCTGAAAAAGTCAAGTTGACTGCAATCTACCCAACCAAACACCTCCATAATCTGAAATCTTCGTTTAGCATTTCCTCTGTTTCATTATGGAGGTGTTGGTTGGGTAGATTGCGGTCAACTTGGCCTTTCCAGACTTGAGAAAGGCGAAATTCATCGAAACGTCAGCTTGCTTGTAAATTAAGAAGCAAAATAACGCCTCGTGTTTGTTCAACAGGAATATAAAGAATTGTTTGATCAATGCCGAGGTTAATAGGAAGCCGGTCATAGGAATTACTCACAGAGTTCGGTTTCGTTTTTCTTTTCTTGCTTTATTTTTTATTTTCTATGGTTATTTAAAAATTTGAAACTTAATTTCGTACGATGACCTTTTGCAGCGCCACTAGTGGCCTACTATGACGGTGTGCTTTCATATCAATGCATATGGTCAACTTGACCACGGCATACATGCATTGACAGCAATGTATCAATACATACGATCACCAACAGTGCTCGGATTGCACTAGTCCATTTTTTGCAACAATTTCGAAGATTTGTGAGGAAATCTCGAACAAATACCCTATTGAAAATTTAGCAATCTCGAATAAAGCTGAGCTTCAAAGTTCTTGGCGTTGTTCAATCCTTGAGGGATGCGCCATGCATACGACTTCATTAAGCATCGTTGGAGGTGAATGAATGCATATCTGACCTTTAGAATGGTTTAAGGTGGCCTATAGATTACCTGGTCAGTGCTGTTATCCTCCCGGACAAGTGTGGTATCAATTTGCCAACCCCGGAGAGATTGAAAGCTTGGTGGGCCCTGGGCGTTGGGATCGATTCCACATGTGTGTTGCAGGGCTCCACTGACCACTGCGCCACACGCACATTACTAATAAAATAAACAAAAGAATTATACCATTGATATGTGTCCTAACCCCTACTACTTGAAAAAGACGACTCTTAAAAACTTGTGAATAGATTACAACGAAGTTCAAGAATAACAAACATGTTTTGATTTTCGCTTCCCTAGCTTTTGTTTTCGAAATATTCAAACTGAACAATTAAAAGTGCAAAGCTTCTAGAGACGCTCATTATAATAGGCATTAATAAAGTTCCTAGAAAATAAAAGGAAGAAAAGTTATTCCGTAAGTTAAGAAAGGAAAAAAGAAAAGATGTAATAAACAATAATAAGGGACTTTTCTATAAAGTAAGGGAAATCTTCGGAAACCTTGTTGAAAGTACGAATACTCTGAAAGGAAATGTAACAACTACAAAATGGAAAAATATTAATGAAGTTTAAGGGTAAGCACTGGGAGATGATTGAAAACAATGGCAAGAAGCTGGGAATGAAAACAGGTGAGGTGTCTCTCAAGAAAAAACAAACCCCAAGAAAACGAAAGTGAACGTGTGCTTCATAACAACTTCGAGATTGCTGGAAAAGAAAACGGCGGAAACTCCAGGAATGTTTCAGAAGAATGGAATCCCAACGAAATCACAGAAGAAATTTCGTCGAATCAATAATCAATTTCTAAGGAGTTTGTTACCATTGAATAGGTAATTTTTTCTTTTTCTGGTTATTAGTGCCACTAACCTCCCAACGGTTTACCGCCTAATCGTGGCTGGGAGGTGTTCCCAGGTGTCGGACTGCGATGCACAGCGGGGGATTCATCCCCGTCAGCGCCTTCCAAACTAGGAAGGAGTCCGGCTTCTCCATCAGGAAGCCTAGCTAAGAGTAAGCGAGTGCCAGAATCCACCACCCTCCTGGTATCAAAGTCACATGGTTGCAAATCTCTCTGATCCACAAAGGCTGCGATTGCCGTGGTGGTAAAGACCTAGGGCAGACATTGGCCAGGCTGATCTCGGGATTCCAAGGATTCACAATGGCTTAACCAGCAAATCTCCGAAAAATGGAGATTATGTTGAGGCCCGTACAACCAGTGAAGACGGGCCATTCAAGTATTAAGTAAGTAAGTTCCACTTCATTTGCATATTTCGTGAAGCTGGTCTTTTCCTTCTCGTAATCGCAGATCAAATTTTTGGCAATTCTATGATCTCAGATTCCTCTAATCTTAAAGCATTGCAGTGAACTAAAGGATTTGTTAGAATTCTTTTGAGGATTTGATGATTCTAACAAGCAGCAAGGAACCGCTATAGTAGTGGAAGAACCTTTCTTTGAAGGGAAAAGTCCCTCTGATCCAAAGCGGCCGATGGGAAAGACGTTAAACTCTCGACTTGGGAATTTTATGGGGGTACCCAAAATCGATGGTCGGCAGTTACATCATCTTCGCTTTAGTGATGACATTGCCCTTATAACACCAAGCATTAGCCAAGCGGAACGTATGCTTGCCGATTTTGATAAAGCCTGTGGAAAGATTGGTCTTCGACTAAATCTCACAAAAACGATGTTCATGAAGAATGGATTGGTTTCGCATGCTCCATTCATGGTCAACGGAATGACAATTTCCGAATGCTCCAGTTATATCTATCTAGGTCGGGAAATCAATGTGATGAACGACTTAGCTCCAGAGCTGAGCAGAAGAAAACGAGCGGCTTGGGGAGCTTTCAAGAGCGTCGAGGATGTAGTGAAGAAAACAAAGAACACCCGAATCCGTGCCCACATTTTCGACTCAACGGTGCTTCCTGTCCTAAACTATGCGTAAGAAACCTGGTCGCTGCGTAAGCAGGATGAAAGGTCACTCAGTGTTGCCAAACGCCCAGTCGTCGAAAGGACGATGTTTGGAGTATCTCGTTCCCCACAAGTAAGGGATGGGATCCGAAACTCCGATTTGCGTCAACGATCAAAAATCAAGGATGCCGTTCTGTACGCAAACAGTCGAAGATAAGATGGGCCAGAAACGTAATGCGTATGAGTGACAACCGATGGACAAGAGCCCTTAGTGACTGGATCTCTCGGAATGTCAAACGTACTGCAGGAAGACCACCAATCCGTTGGTCAGAGTTCTTCACGAAGAGCCTCGAAAAAAGGTATGATGTTCGAAGAGTCCCTAGAGCGAGCAGAAACCACTGCGCTACTTTTGCACGGGACAGGGAAAAATGGGAGATTTACTGGCGCCGCTGGAGTCACTCGACGATCAACGGGACTATAGGTGATACAGGTGATCCACTCCTCAGTAGGCAGAAAATATATCAACGAAAAGAGAACTCGACAGATGAACAAGGAGCGGTCGAACCAACCAGACATGAACGTTTGCAAATGGTAAGGCAAAGCATCGAAACTAGTGAAAAAGTTCTGGGTTTTGAGCCATAAGGGAGGATGTGCGATTTGTTGAATCTAAGCGAGTAAATTTCATGTTTCGAGTGCTTAAGAAAGTATTAGTCGCCTTTAGGATGACCAGAAGTAATTGTGCCGTCTCACTGGCGTTTTGTGAATGAATGACTTTGTCGGAACAATTCATAGAAAGAAGGTAAACAGTAGCAAACTTAAACAAGAACTGTTAATTCTATTAAACAGCGATTTCAGGATTTAAGCGGCTGGTGTTTACAGTTCTACTGCTAGTGCATTGTCGAAAGTACGTCAAAATCATCACTGTTATACTTTAGCACTCGATACAGAGCGAAGCTTAGGATGAACCGAAGGAAAACATGGTCGATTGAGCAATCTGCAGTTATATTGCATTCTAGTTTTAGCTTTTAATGCATAACCTTAAAACTCAGGATGAAAAGAAAAACGTTGACCTATAAATACTTTTTCCCTAACGAAGCACAGCTTAACTCCCACGACCGACTTTCTATTAACCTCGGCATTGATCAAGTAATTCTTCGTATACTTGTTGAGCAAACAACAGAGACCTATCCGGCTAACATAAACCAAATACCCCACTAGGCACGCATAAGACCCAGAGACATAACGGGGAGGACTTTGAAGTACGTGTCACGATCCTCGCACAAGAATCGAGAACGCAAGCGCGCGAAACTCTCGAGGCGTTCTGGATTAATTCCAGAAATCCAAAAATGAACCGCAGGGAAGAAAGCCTTATTATCAAGCGTGATATTGAGCACTATATAAGACTGTTATTCAGATGGGAGATGGGAGGAGTACATTACGCTTCCATGTGAATTTTGTGCGGTTGGTCTTCACCCGACATACTCAGTGGAGGCCTCATAGAAAGCGGTGAGTGTGCAAAGCTGTGTTCAATGTGATTAAAATTTTGTTTAGAGTTTCTTTGTTTGGTTATGGAAGCGTCTGTCCGAGTAGATTGCTATCAACTTAACCTTTCCAGGTTCTGAGGAAGGCGGAATCCGCCGAAACGTCAGCTTATTCGTGAATTAAGAATAATAACACCTCGCGTTTGCTCAACAATAATACGAAGAAGCACAGCTTATTTCTGCGGTTCTCATGATCCACACCTGACAATGGGTTAGGATAAGGTGTAAACGTAAAACTTAGCTGTTAAGTTGTTAAAGGATAAAAGGACGAAGCTCTTGGCGTTGATTGTTTGAATTGTTAAACCGAGAGTCAGAGTATATAAAATTATATTAAATATTATAAATACTGTATGTAATGTATATCAGCACACCCTTCCAGGCTCTGAAGAAGGCGATA